TTCTATTTCTTCCCATTTCAGAGTAGAGTTTGAGGTGGAACAGGGCCCTGGTGGCCTCTCCTTTCTCAGCGCTGCCACAAGCTCTGCACGAGCGCCGTTTCCGCTAATGCTCAAGGTTTCGTGAAGGCAGGAGCAGAAGCTGTTTCGCTTGTTGGAACCTATAGAAGGGCAGCTTTCCTTCCCTCCCCACCTCTCATCCACTTCATGCCCTTCTTCAGACCTAACCCTTAGGAACTGAAAGACCCAGCCCCACTGCTCGGTGCGTCACTGTCCCCTCCAGAGCCCATTAGGGTGTAGCGATCCCTGCAGCCTACGAGCCCAGCAGCTGAAGCACCGTGACGCTTACAGGAGCACGTTGGAAGTTGGGTAGGTCGTGACAGGGCAGGAGGTGGCCTCTGCCTTCCCCAGCTCCTTCATCTCAGCCCTTGTGCTGCCTCCGGAGGGAAGGGAGAGGATTAAGAGCGCTCTCGCTTAACGAATGACGGGGCCATGCTGCACCAGCTGTTTATAGCTTGGTCTGGCATTATCCCCCAGCTGTGCTCAGCTGCATCTGCTGCTCTTTGGGCCCTGGCTCCCGTGGAGTTTACTCACTAATTTTATGAGACAGAAACAAAACGTCTAGAGGAGGAAGCTCCTCTTCATAACTTGACCTCGAGCAGGGCGTCTTATATTAAATCGGCCCTGAAGGGAGCGTGCTCATGGCTGAACTTTCAGGTTCCCCCCTCAAAGCGGTGGCCGCTGTCACCCTCTTGCCTTGCTCCCTGCCGCAGTGATACTGGGCTAAAGATGAACCGACCCCCAGCGCTCCCCTCCTCACACCACCCAAATAGCCTCCTCTTTGGACTTCAAAAAAACAAATCACTTGCCTTCTCCCAAGCCAGCACCAGGGCCCGCTGGCACCCACACGCAGAGGGACCCCCCTCCTCCTCCCGGCCTGGCCAGGCAGCGTCAGCGCCTACGACCCTCCCTCACAAAAGCTCCAGACACCTGCTGGCCATAAGGGCTATTTAATAGCACTGCCTTAAGGTGACACTTAGTTACAACCGTCCACATTCGGCACTGGCTGCGTTACAGCAGCATCGGGGACCTTGGGCACAAGGGTCGGCGGCCTGTAACTGTGCAACGCCCACAACGTTGCTGTCAATGCATCGTTAAATTAAGCACCCGCTCACACATCTCCCATGGATGGTGCTCCCCACTGTGAAAAAACAGGGTTAAAATAAAAGGAGAAAAGGGAGAGGATAATCAGGCTGGGTTAGGCCTGCTGCGACCCACACGTGTGCGCGCAGGGTGACAGGGCTTTGGCGAGTGCCAGACACGGGGCCAGAGCAACGCAGGCCCTCGCAGGCTTGGGGGGGGAGCGTGCGCTCGCCACTGAGAGCAAAAGAAAAAAAACCCTGCAAATTTAAAGAAACACGTGTTTTTAATTCCCAAACTCTGTTCTGTAAGCCTCCTAAAAACAAAATCTTATAGGTAGCGTTTAAAAAAAAAAGGGCAAATGAATCAGGGTGGATTTTACCTCAATTTTGAACTCATTACCACATCCATAAGCTCCTGAGAAGGCCGCAGGCAAATGTCCTGGCTTCACCCTGCACCAAACAGCCCACCAAGCTCGTCGCAAGGTGAGGTGCTCTGAAGGGCCGGACTAGAGCGCCAGCATCAGGTTCCTGCGAGCGAGGCGGGGTGAACAGACCCCTCTAATAGCTTTTTATGAGCCCGCAAACCAAGTTTTAACTTGAGCAAAAAGATTTTTTTTTCTTTTATTTTCTTTCAATAAAGGGTCTCACACAGTGCAACATGATTGACCAGTCAAGAGGGCCCCTCTGGCACACTGAGCCCATCACTTGCTTGTCCCCATCTCATACAACCCACGATGGGGGTTCCTCCCCTGCCACTTTTTTTTTTTTTTTTAATCCTGATTATTATTATTATTTTCTTTACAGAGACCAGGAGTAACAAGGTCCATATTATTATTTTTAACTCTATCTGCGATGAGACATCCACTGGGTGCTCTCAAGGCTCAGAGACATGACATCAGTTGGCTACTCAGTAGGGATTTTTTTTTTTTTCCTTCGATGTATTAGCTACAATTTTTGTTATGAATCACTCGTGTTTAAACCCACTCCTGGCCTCCAGTGGGCTTTGCTTCCTTGGAAGCCACCATCCTCCAAAGAGAGAGAGAATTACCAGGAGAGCATTGAGCCTCCAACCTCGATGGTACCAACCTTCTGCTCTCTCCCATGTCACCAAACAGAGCCCCCGCCCGGCCCTCCCACCTTGCGGGACACGGGGGGAGATGGAGGAGACCCCTCGGAACCGCCTCTGTGGGCCGCAAGAACTCGGATACCGCACAAGTTTAGAAATCCATCAGTGAACAAGGCTTTACTGACAACTTTTCATACAGTTAAAAAATAAAAATACAGAACACAGCGGACAGTGTCACATATTAAAAACGAATAAAATGGGCTCTATTTAAATGGTATTAAAATTAATTAGGAACTAAAAATCTCCCCGCTTTGGCCGAGGGCTTTGGAGCCTCCACCAAAACGGTCGGCCTTAAAACCAACCGGGCTGTCGTGACACACAAAGAAAACATGGACTTGGAAAAGACAGTGTGGGCTAGGCAGTGTCTTTGACTATAACTATCACCATATGTTCCTCCTCCAGCTTCCCCAATGTCCGTAGTGCTGACTGGAGGTACTGCTGCGAGAAGTCGCACGGGGGGAAGGCGTAGAGCATGCCTGTGCTGTCTCTGCCCTTCGCGCCTCCCACGGGCAGGCTGATCACGCCAGCAGCCTGCTTCTGTTTCAAGTAGGACACCAGGTTCCTGAGCAGCCGTCGCTGCAAGCCGGGCTCCACGGCGGCCGCGG